TGGGGCACTCCAATTCACCCACCCCACACTCCAGCACTGACTGGGGAACCCCTAGAACAAGCTCCCTCTCCTCCCTTTCCCCACTCCCATCCTGAACCAGGGGCAGGTTGGGAGTGAGGAGGGACTATTGCTAGGGGAAACCAGCTGCAGGCTCCAGCCAGCAACTAGATTCCTACCCCACCCCTGGCACCTCCCCCCACCTGAAACCAACAGTGAACTTCTGTTTAGAAGATCGTTGCAACTCAGAACACTTCCTGCAAAGCTCTTTCAGCTACAGCAGGGAGCTGCACTTCTGTCTGCGCCTCATGGAGGAGAGGAAAGTATGAGGCAGATGTGCAGGGTATGCAGGAGGGGGGTTCTGCCCTCTGGGTAGATGTGACAGAGTGGGTTGAGTGCCACCATACGTGACGTGGATGTGGGGGAGGTGTGGAAACAGTTTGGGTATGGGTTTGGTTTGAATATAAAAATAGGTGTTACCAATCTGTCAACAATGCTGGTATTTCGGATCTGACGCTTCAATCGCTTGGAGTATGAGACAGATCCAGCACTGTGCTACCATCCCAAATGCACACGTCACAGGTCTTCACCGTCTGGTTCGGGGACCTGACACAGGTCTGCCCAGGACCCTCAGCCCCAGTGTGCACTCCCTGCCTCAGTTGGTCCAGCCCTGGGACTCTGCTCAGTTCTGTCAATGCCCATCACATACAACCTATTTCTACATACAGCTCTGTCACTAGCTCTTTCGCCTCTGCTTTGTTATTCCCATCTAAGGGCCTGCTCGAGCCAAGCAGTCTGTAGGATGGAAGATGGCTGGGATTCATTGGCGACGCATAGGGGGTGCACACGGGTGCATGTGCACCCCCCGAGATCAGCCGTGCACCCCCTGGAAACACAGCCGTGAAACAGGAAGTGCCAGCAGAAGTGCAGCCCCCTCCCCAGTCAGCAATAGGCGGTGGGGAACTCCCCCGTAGGTGACCTGGTGCCCCCAAGACTCAGGAGGCACAGTCGCCCATGCTGGGATGTAAGGTGAACTATCCCCCCAACTCCTTTTTCACTTTAGATGTCAGAGAGGAGTTAGAGACAACACACTCTGTGCAGCACAGAGACACCCGCCAGCCTCTTCAGAGCCTCCTGTTGAAATGGGTGATGCTGTACTTTTTAAATACGAGTCCCAAGCAGGGCGTCTCATCCAAAAGCTATTGCAAAGTGATTGTAGGGACACTGAAGAGGAAGACAGAGAGAGAATGAGACAGACTCCACCCTACGGTCAGCAAGAGGCAGGCTGGATCGCATGCTCCAAGTGACGGGCTTGAAGGTAGCGGCACCAGCGTGGTTGCCCTTAATCTCCGAGATTAAACCCGGCATTTCCAGAATGAATGCCGAGTCCCCAGTCATCATTGCTCCCCAGAAGCCGCAGTCCAGCCTGGAGCGCGGCCGCACGGGGAATGGAGATAGCAATCAGCTTTTCATTTGTCTGTTTCCTTGCTCTAATAATTTTGTTGATGTCAAAGAGGCTGAAGCAAAGGATGAAAAGCAGAGAGAGATAAGAGGAAGTCTTGCCTGGCTGCATTTGGGAGACATGGCGGGGCCCACACACACCAGCATGCCCATTCAAGAAACGCACCAGTCACAATGTGACATTTTCTCTCCACACCAAAGCGAGCAGGAAGAGACGCACAAAGCAAGTCTCTTCTTGTTGCCCTGCTGATAAAGGAATCAACTCTATCAACTCTTTCAGCGCAGCCTGACCAGCAAGGAGCAGGCCTTTTGGGTTCCCAGATGTTATAAGGCCTTTGGGACCTGCTACAGAAAAACAGCAGCCAGGGGAGCTAATACTCCTCAGCACTTAAATGGTGTTTCCCCTTCTCACATGCATGCTTAACTGATGCCTCACTGTTGTCTTGAGAACTAACTGGGAACCATCCCCTGGGGGAACAGAGGCACTGGGAGATTTCAAAGCAAATTTTCCTGTGCAGCTTCTCATTTTGTGCAACTCATTTTTTGGCTGTCCAGTAGCAGTGGGCTGGGCTGTCACTGTCAGAGATGTTAAGACGGCACAACTCCCAGTGCCCTTTGAAGATCAGGCTCTATATGTCTATAATTAGGTATCTTGAAAAGCACGCACCCAACTACTGGATCTACAGGATGCAACTAGGACTATCCAGTGAATCAGTGACAGACACAAGATAATATCTTGGGTTATATTACTGTTTTCATCATCACTTTTATTTAATAATTATTATTTTTGCTTTCTACCCGGTACATTTTAGGTCATATTTCCAAGGCTCAAGTAAAAGGTATATAGTATGTTAACAAGGCCTGATACATTCAAAGGGTTGTCACCAAGTTGCTGGTGTGTGCATCACACCTGGCCCCAGCAATTTTTTCCCATAGCATTTAGCAGTGGCTTAAAGCAGAGCTGTCCAACTGGCACACAAGGCCTGCAAGGAGTTAAGTTACCATGCCCAGGCTCCTGCCTGGCCACCACTCCTCAAGTGCTCCGGCTGCAACAGCAGCTGGAGTCTCCTGGCTTTCCCTCCCTCCTCCAGTTTCCACTGCCTGCCCCTGCAGGGGAGGTGGTGCATGGTCTGTGGGATTGAGGGAGAGAAGAGCATGAATACAGTGCAGTGGGGGCAGGGAACAGCACAGCAGTGTGTGTGTGGGGTGGGGGTGCATGAGCATAAGGTGCAGCCGTGAGACAGGGGTGAGGACAAATGGTGTAGCAGGCACAAGGAGAGAAGGAGGGGGCTCTCATGCAGTACAGTGAGGTGGGGGCATCAAGTAGTTTGCAGCCTAGGAGGCCCATGCCTCGCACTGGTACAGTCTATGGACATGCAGTCTCTGCTGGTGTGGCCCTTGGCTGCTTAGAAGTTGGATAGCCCTGGCTCAGAAAACATACCTCATACTGGGTGATGAGACCGTTGGGCTCCACTGGCTCTTCCCATTTCAGAAAGATCATGTCCTCCAAGGGAGTGAATGTGAGCGACTCTGAAGCAATGCCTCCAGGGACTGAAAAAAAGAAAAGACAGACAGATAGGATTCAGCAGGGAAAGACAAGTCTCTGCTAGTCACTCAGCTTCCCTAAGACACCTTCTGATCTCAGAACAGTCCAAAAAAAAAAAAGCAAAAAGCAAAAAAACACATGCATAATGATGCCCGTTCCTCCCAAATAGAGCCCAGCCACTGCCATACATACAAAAGACTGTATCCAATTCAAGTCCCCAACCCCTGGAAAGACCAAGAAATTCAGAGTTCAGGTTGTGAAGCCCTGTAGATCAATGCACCTGGTAACTGCAGGGTTTGTGGGAGCCAGGTAACTCCTTAACAAGGCATTTTTACTCAGCACAGCAAGACGACAAAAAGCAGCCACACACACTGTCACCCCAGATCCCCAGCTGGTGCAAGGTGCCATAGCTCTAATGCCTTTCCTGGAAGTACACCCATTTACCTCTGTTCAGGATCTGGTCCTCAGGATTCCCAAACTAAAACACTCCTCAGCCAGTAGCAAATTCTTAGCACTCATTCACTGCTTGTGCCAGAAAGCTTGCAACTAAAGAATTTTTTTTTTGCAAAAATGTAGTTGGTCTAATAAAAGATATCACCTCTGCCACGAGTTCTGATTCCTTTTGTCTCTACCAATGTGACTGCAACCTGGATAGCTAGCACTCGCTCAGAAACCTCTGGAGCCCAAGGGGGCTACACTGGACCTGCTGACACACTTCAGCTTACCCCAAGTTCCTTGTGACAGCTGCAGGTCAGAGGTGTCAGAAGTCACTAACTCTACCATCTCCTGCCAGGCCCAGATAGAGAGCACGGAGCTGCCATGGGGAAGGGGAGGGGGGGCAGGGGTCTGCCCAGAGGGCCTGGGAAAGATGGACCAGGGATTTAGGACACCAGCGTGGGAGTTGGGAGACCCAGGTTTTATTTTTTTTCTGCTGTGCCACAGACCCCTTGTGCAGCCACGGGCAGGTCATGGACTCTCTGTGCCCGTAGTCTCCACCTGTAACACAGGCACAACAGTACTGTCCTTGCTCACAGGGGTGCCCTGAGGCTGAATATATCAAAGGCTGTGATCTGCTAAAATGCTGCAGGGATGGGGCCGTGTATGCACCTCAACAAAAGTTACAAAGGGGCCATTGTGGTTTCAGAGTTGTTCTGGAGTTCATCAATAAACAAAGGAGGATGCAAAAGCCAAGGATCTGCTCTGACACCACTGAACACCTTTTTATTTCCTGCTTCTGAGTCAAGCAGGAGCTACCTTCCAGATGACTGGAAGATAACTGACATGGTCCCCATCTTCAAAAAAGGGAAGAGAGAGGACCCGGGCAACTATAGGCCCGTCAGTCTTACCTCAATCCTAGGGAAACTCTTTGAGAAGATCCTCAAGGAGCACATCTGTGATGGGCCGGCTTCAGGGATGATGCTCAAGGACAACCAGCACAGTTTCATTAGAGACAGGTCATGTCAGACCAACCTGATTGCCTTTTATGATCAGGTCACAAAGGTAATGGATGCAGGTGTTGCCGTGGACGTAGTCTTTCTAGACTTCACAGCAAGGCCTTTGACACCATCTCCCACCCCATCCTCATTAAAAAACTAGGCAACTGTGGCATTGATGCCTACACAGTCAGATGGATTGCAGATTGGCTCAAGGGTCATGCTCAGAAGGTGGTGGTGGACGGGTCATATTCAACCTGGGGGGAAGTGGGCAGCAGAGTCCCCCAGGGCTCAGTCCTTGGGCCTGTGCTGTTCAATCTCTTTATCAGCAATTTGGATGATGAGGTGAAATGCAACCTGTTTAAATTCGCTGATGATACCAAAATTTGGGGTGAGGTGAGCACGCTAGTAGGGAGGGAAAGACTGCAGCAAGACCTGGATAGGTTACAGGGGTGGGCTAACAAAAACAGGATGTGTTTCAATACTGACAAGTGCAGGGTGCTGCACTTGGGCAGTAGTAACCAGCAGCACACTTATAAGATGGGAAACTCCCTTCTTGAGAGCACGGAGGCAGAAAGGGATCTGGGAGTCATTATTGACTCCAAGAGGAACATGGGCCGACAATGCAAGGTCACTGTTGGCAAGGCTAACCGGACCTTGTCGTGCATCCACAGGTGCATCTCAAGTAGAGCCAGGGAGGTGATCCTCCCCCTCTATGCAACGCTGGTCAGGCCACAGCTGGAGTACTGCGTCCAGTTCTGGGCGCCCCACTTCAGGAGGGATGTGGACAACATTGAAAGGGTCCAGAGGAGGGCCACCCGCATGATCAGGGGACAACAGGGCAAACCCTACAATGAAAAACTGCGGGACCTAAACCTGTTCAGCCTCCACAGGAGAAAGCTGAGGGGGGACCTGGTGACTGTCTATAAACTCACTGGGGGGACCAGAAGGGTTTGGGGGAGACACTGTTTCCCCTCGCACCCCCTGGCATGACAAGGAATAATGGACACAAATTATCAGAGAGGAGGTTTAGATTAGACATCCGCAAGAACTACTTCACAGTTAGGGCGGCTAGGATCTGGAACCAGCTTCCTAGGGAAGTGGTGCTGGCTCCTACCCTGGGGGTCTTTAAGAAGAGGCTTGATGCCTACCTGGCTGGACTCATTTGAGTTCAGTTTTTCTTCCGCCCAGGCGGGGGGTCAGACTTGAAAATCTACAAGGTCCCTTCCGACCCGACTTCTATGATTCTATGATAAGCAACTACCTCAGTTCATCCAAAGGTAATTAAACATTACAGCCATTGGGATCCACAAGACTGTGCTAAAGAAGGAAATATCAGGCTGAAGCTCTGACAAGTGCTTCCCCAGTGCCCACTCCCAGCTGATGATCTGCTGTTCCCTGCAGAGAGGAGATAGGAAGCAGACACTCCTCCCATACCACCTTACAGAAATGCCTTGAGCTCTGCCAATTCTCACCAGCTGGCACTTGTAGCTTTGAGAACAGAACACAGAGTCCAGACTACTGACCTCCTTACCTGGCTTCACACCTGAGGGGCCATAAGACTTTGGGCAAATCACTCAACCCCTTAAGACTTCCACATGACCATCAGAGAAATGGGGCTAATAATCCTACATCACAGGGCTGCTCTGGGGCACAGTTAACAAATGTCTGTGCAGAGCTTTGGGATCCTTGGATAATGTTTCTGTCCGGACCTATAGAAACCCTGCGCTGCCACGCCATGGTACAAAGCACAGAGAGCAGCCTCTGGGAAGTAGAGACAGAGCTTTCCTTTTTCACCTATCTAGAGCACAGGGCAGATTTACTGACATAGATAAATGCTCAGACCTCTCCCCCACCATCCCTCGTTCTTGCATTGGAGGTAATAAACCTCATGTCCACAGTAAGGCAAGGAAGGCAAGAGCAGAACCTGATAAAGTTTAACAGCCCAAAGAAAGAAAAAAAACCATTTCCCAAATCTCCCTGCGTAATCCTGTGCATTCTGGCCTGATTGCTGCAACAGGAGCTCTCAATCCACCATAAACTGGCACTCAAACCAACCCACGGATGTTGAATCTGTTGGCTATTTCTGCTCGTATATATTTTATTGGGGCATCTTAATTGCATTCTGTTGAATCCAGTCAGCCCACCACTTTGGAAAAGCACAACGGTAAAGAGAGACACACAGGTGCTGGTTGGATTCACAAGCAGAATAGTCATGACGAGCGTGCTAAGGGAGAGCACGTTTGGAATAGCCTGGCTTTGGATGCTTGCCCAAACATGGTCTGCAAAACACAGCAGAGGATCTGAGGAAAGCAGGCATTTCTGCCGCACTTAGATGTTCCTACCTGGAATTAAAAGGAAGTGCGGAAATGCAGAAGGTATCAATTAAGCTCTGCAAAGGAGTAATTTGTATTACATGACCAGCTGGTCACCACTGGGCTCTCCCTTTGTGTTCTTTGCTGCACAGACACAAGCACAGTGAAGGGCAGCCTGTGCTGCAAAGTGCTTACCATCTAATAGACAAAGCGTGAAGGAGGGAAATGACTAGTCCACGGTCCTACCGCCGACAGGAAATGAAGCCCGGGTGTCCTGACCAGCACTAACGCGCAAACCTGCTCTACATTCCCCAAAAGGTAAAGGCTCTCGCACAGGAGGCAATAAACCTCATGTCCTTGTAGGCGAGGGAGGCAAGAGCCATATTAGAGACTGAGACTAGAGCCCGGGGAAGGGGCAGGTTCTCCTTATCCATATCTCTCTGCCCCACCTGTGATGAGATCACGCCAAATCCCTGCTGAAGTCCAGGCCATCACTTTACTTTGCCTCACTTGCTCCAGCAGTCGCTGCTGCATGTCAGACTTTACTGAGATGCCATCCAGTCAGCCAAAAGCTGCTATTCATGGGACTGGGGTGGACTACGGCCTCAGAGATAACAGTAAGTGCTGCCCAGTACTGACTTTTCAGCTCTGTCTACTCTCCTCAGGTATGCTGGGCTCAGCTCCCCCTACCTCCCTGGTTCCCTAATGCTGGTGGTCTCACGCTCTTCAGTGGTCTCAACTAGAAAGGCTACACAGTGCAGCTGAGATGCACCTTCATATCCCCGGCTCTTGGGATGTTGCTTCTACCTGGCTGAGAGGCAGGCAAAGTGTACTCCAAACCAAGTCACTCGGGGCCAGCCCTGTAACCAGCCTAACCAGCCCCAGACCTACTCTCTGGGTCTTCCTGGGACACATTTAACAAGGTCCCCTTCCTATCTCCAAAACCTGCCCCCCCTCCCTCGGTGCTCTGTGCTTCACATGAACAGAGAACATCCTCTCACCCCACCCCACAACCCCCTCATCCAGTACCAAAATACCCAGCTCCGAACAGATTCATAGATTCATAGATTAAGGGTCGGAAGGGACCTAGTAGATCTTCTAGCCCGACCCCCCGCCAGGGCGGGAGAACAACAAAAAACCCCAAAAAGAGAAACGGGACTCAAACGAGTCCAGCCAGGTAGGCATCCAGCCTCTTCTTAAAGACCCCCAGGGTAGGGGCCAGCACCACTTCCCTTGGAAGTTGGTTCCAGCTCCTAG